ATTGTATCTATATATATTTATATAGGTATACATTGTATTGTATATATATATGTTTTTCTAAATATTATGATATTTATCTACATACATTTTACAGACTTGAGTTGCAAGCTCAACAATGGAAAGACTCAATCAAACTAACATCAAATGTTAAAACACAAAATCAGACTACTCAGATCGTGTTTCATGAATTAAGAGGCAGAAAGCCATTGCAAAATTCCTTAAAAGGTCAAAAGACCACGCAAACCTGATGAAAGGACATGCCAGTGGTTTTGACAGGACAAATGTGAAAATTGGTAAATGCTAAAAAAACAAGAATGGTACACATATGAGCAATAATGGACAGTATCATCCAGCTAAATCAAAAAGTGTGGTTGTAAATGAGAGTCTCATGTTTTGACACAATCTCTTCAAAGCAAACTGAAGTATGAGACTTAATGGCAATATTTAACTTCTTTTAACTTGAAAATGCTATTAAATTTTAAATCTGAACTTTAATTTGTCTACCCCAAAAAAAAAAAGTTTGACTGCATGGAAGATACTAGCACACCTCTCCTCAAACCACACAATTTTAGGCATCATTTCTGTCCGTAGCAAATATAGGTCAGAATGAGTTACACCCTGAAGTTTTGTAATTAAGGGTTTTTCAAACACATAATAGTAAATGCATATAATAATAACATGACATGAACATGACTGTCAGCAACTTGAAACAGCAGCGCGAGCAACAAAAAGGTCAAAGAGTTTAGAGGAAGGTACCTTGGGATAGTCCAGCTCGAAAAATGTCTCCAGATTGTTTATGAGATTGGGGTCCACACCCTTGAGGGGCTTCAGCAGCGACACACCAGCCAGTTTGCTGTACGGCACCTTTTCTGTGGTCTTCTTGTTGAGATGCAGACGGCTGAAAAGAGAGACAAGGAATGTTTTATATTACACTGTGCATTTCAGTGTTGGGGGTAACGCATTACAAGTAGGGCTGCAAAAGGGGGGGAAATTTCCAGTAAATTCCTGAAATATTCCAGAAATTTTGGAAACTTTCCAGGATTTTTTTGGAATATTCCAGGGATTTTTGGAAAGTTTCCGGAAATGTTCCACCCCTTTGCAACCCTAATTATAAGTAACGCAAGTTACGTAAACGGATTACTTTTTTCAAGTAACTAGCAAAGTAACAAGAACATATCTGAGTTACTTTGTTTTCCCATTTACTGACTGATAGCCCATGTTGAGGTTACTGTACAGTAGTTCTAGACTAAATGCGAACATGCATTTACTCATCTCACTAACACGAAAACAGATTCAGTATTCCTCAAAATGAATAAAAACCGTGCAAATGCAAATTCAGAACATGACGCAAACCTGCAATATTTAAAAACGTTAAATGACACAAATTTCCTTTATGTATTTTACCCCATAATGTCTTTGATGCCGACCTTTGATGATCCAATTCAACCATACTAATAAGCAAAATTGACTTTAAATAAACATAACATTTGTCTTTTTTTTATTGCTGAAGAGAGAAAAATGAGCCCAGCCCAGATCAGAAAAAGTAACACAAATGTAACGTAACATTACTTTCCATAAAAAGTAACCAAGTAAAGCAATTCATTACTTTTTTTTTAGAAAGTAACTCAATATTGTAATGCATTACTTTTATAAGTGCATTTCAAAAATTTTAAGTGCATTTCAGGTGTCCACAGGGTAAAACATGTTGTGTGTATATCCATGCAAGCAGGATGTTATGCTGCTTTCTTTGTGCAGGATGGTGAATTTCAGGGAGGTTTTTTGTGATGCTGGGGACAATGGGATGTGGCCAACTTTGGCACTAGCAAATACATCTAAAAAAAATCCTGTGCAATTATGAGCAGAATTAATCTTTGCAATCCTTTACAGAGAGAAACACTGTGATGCAATTAAAAAGTATCAAAGAATTGCACTACAACAAGACGCAAGAAGAACCAGGTCTATGTTGCACACATTGAGTCAAATCCTGGTGACTCTATTTGCAAGCATCCTGCAGTAACCAAATGAAGGCTGCAGCACACAAGCATGCAGTGGGACGGTGCATTATTTTAAACTGTGATCAACTGTTTGTTTGCAGCTTGACTGGCAGCTGATAGTTCATCTATGTACCGCAACAAGGCAGGTGACCCAACTGGTTTAGTTTCCCAAGTTACTGCAGTTTCACTATTAAAGATATGTCAGTTATGTCAGTTCACACTACTTTGATTAAAAAAGGAAGTCTCTCAAAGTCTATGGGGTCAGGTGGCTGGCTTTTATTATATTTATGATGTTATGAGCACCTCTTTGGCTCAGTTTCAGGATGGAAATCAAATCAGAGCATTCCTGGATGTCACAAAACTCTTTAAAAACCCTCTTATATTCAAACTATTTCGGAGAACTATTCGTGTTCACATTATGTCTTGTTTTGATGGCCCAATGCTCAGGTAATGCCGAGTTAACCGTGTCAATGTTTATAGAGGCATTTTAAAATTGGGCGATTTGATCAGCAATTTCGGCACCCTCTGCTTCTCAGGAACTCCACTTGTGCACTTCCCTATCAGTTCCTGTCTGAAGGGTCTGGAGTCTTTCCTGACACTTGCCAGCACAGTAGCCAGCAGTAGCCATTAAAAGCTGGAAGAAAGATTTAGCTGGCTGAGCATGTTTGGTTCTGAGAGATAAGTTTGTCTATCTTGACTGCCAAAACATCACTGTTGGCACTTTCTTGTGAATTTCAAATAACATGTCAAGCTCCATCTAATGCCAAGACTGAGCATTAAGAAAATGAGAGCTAAAACTCTATAAACTGCCATTTCTATTAGTGCATAATGAAGCGATATATATATCGGCCAGGCTGATTAATCTACAGATATTCGCCCATTTTTAAAATATCAGCATCAACTGATTGCCTGACTAACTGATTAAAAGCAGTGTACAGAACAGTTGTCCAAATAAATTTCAGACTATAAGCATAAAGTCGTATTATACATAGATATGCAAATTATAAAGACCGATAATCGTTTTAACCGATATTTGTTACAGCTAATCAAACTGTTCTTCATAATCGGTTATCGGTTAGTATTCAACCTAACTAGCAAATATTTCTCTCAAGTGAGAAATGCATAGCGCTCTTAGCTTTAAGTTGCCTTTTCACCATCCCAAATAGACAACAATTAATTTATTTGCAGAGAGTTATGATCATATGCATATATTTTTGGATCCATTTTGAGTTTTTGGTGTGTTCTAATTCTAAAACTATGAGCACAAGGTGAGAACTAGCAATATTTTTGCACTTAAACAATGTTTTAAACACGTTTTCTGTAAAACAGGCAGTTATGAATAATTATGTCCAAAATAATAATTTTTTTATGGTATTTAGCTCTGGAAAAACCTATGCTTTTATTTAAAATATATTGACGGTCATTTGTTTTGTGTGGACATATTCATTTCACTATTAATAAATTTTAACATGGTGAATAAGTGGAGGGTAACGGCTGCTTTACGACCAATTTTCAAATTTACCATGCGACTGTCACTAGGGGAATTGTTGAAATGCGCCAATCACGAATGTTGAAAATAGTGAAACGTAGCTAAAAAAAAAAGCTATTAATCATTATTTTTGTTGCTGTTGTTTTTTTTAATTTACATTTATTACTATTTTTATTATTATTGTTATATTATCGGTTTAACAAACCCTTAAACATAATAATCAGTAGGGCTGTGCGATATTGAAGAAAAATGCGATATGCGATATCTCATTAAATAATGCGATATTCGATATGTGATACGATAATGCTTAAAGTGCCACATGCTCAGATGAAACGGTTTTACTCAGCTGTTGTTGAGTCAGTTCTGTGAACTTCTATAACTATCTTGTGTCATATACAGTATATATGGTTATTTGTATGTATCAAGAGCTCCTGTAAAACCACAACAAATTCCTTGTGTTTGCGCACACTTAAGTGGTGAATAAAGCTCATTCTGATTCTGATTCTAATAAGAAAGCCCCCCTACAACAACTTCTGAAAGTGAACGGTATGTGTTTTACTCGAGCATTACATAAAAATGTAATTTTAACATTTGGACATTTAACATTAGGAACTGAATAATAAAAAGGAAAAATAAAACACTGCTTAGTATTTACTCTTTGAATTCAATATGCACTGATTCTTATTTAAGCTACAAACGTTATTTAGGTAAGAGCAGTGAGTGATTTTCTCTGTCTTTTGTTCATGGCCCCAAATATTGCAAGCTGTAACGATATGCATATTGCGATATGTACATTTGCGATATTTCGATATATTGTACAACCCTAATAATCAGTATTGATCATATATTTAAAACACACACATTACATAAGCCACCTTACCTAAATGTTCATTTCCCACATTGCCTGATCCCATCCCACCCTCTTCTCTCTATAATTTCCATCTTTTTACCATCAATAAAGTTGTAAAAAGGCAAACAATGACTAGCCCTCTCTTGATGACCTACAAAATCATATGTAATAATATGTTAGTGAAGGAAAGGCCTCTCATTCACTCAGCTCTGCACATGTGTTTACAGCAGCTCTTCATCAGTTCATGTCAGAAGTTCATGTCAGAGCTGCTCCTGCTGGAGGTGTCTGCCTCTCTCACGCTCCATTAAATATGGGGGGCAACACGGCCTCATCTCACCGCCTCACACCATTAGCGGAAAGGGAAGCAACACCACTACCCAGTGCTCAAAGACTACATTCCTAAAATAACAATGACTAAATTTTAATGAACCATCAGGAATTCATTTCCTTTGATTATTCATGGTACACGGATGCCCCAAGGTGGAAACACAGCTTTTAAAATAAAGCATTATTTCCTCTATACAAATTAGATTTGTATGTGGGAGGCACATTTCTAAAGTACAGCGTAATAAATGGTCATATGCTAGTGCTCAGTATGCATCAGCTATACTACTTCAATTTGGTTTCAAAGTTTCTGACAATCTTATGTTAATCTTGAGTACCTAGAGAGTAGTACTGCATCCTTCATATCTCCAAACAGTCTTTAGTTTTATCAGATTAGGGCTGGACAATAATTCAATATCAATATGTATCGCGATATAATTTTTTTCAATAACGGTGATATGATTTTTAAACACATTTCCGATATTTCGATATACATTACCATGAATAGAAAGATCCAAAGATCAGCATTTATCTGAAATAAAAAGCTTTTGTAACATTATACACTATTCCATTCAGTATAATTTTTATTATTTTTTTGGGAAAGAAATTAATACTTTTATTTAACAAGGATGCTTAAAATTGATCAAAAGTGATGATAAAGACATTTATAATGTTACAAAAGATTTCCATTTCAGATAAATAGTGTTCATATCGATATCGGAATTATATCGTATCGACCGAAATTAAGAAATATATCGTGATATCAATTTTGGCCATATCGTCCAGCCCTATATCAGATTTAAAAAAATACAGATACAGCTGCACCGCTTCTCTCCGAAAACAGTCGAGCTCCTGGAGGCGTGCCGTGGGCGGAGCTAAAGAGTCACGAGCATGCGCAGCTTTTGTAAAATATAATAAATAAATAAATAAACAAAACAGGAGCGAACACTGGGTTCTTTGGGAAGCTGAACATGGTTATCTTTCACTTACAACCAATAGCACACTTATTTGGTGATATTGTTGAATTCGTGATCTAGAAACAAAATGACAAATCCTTCTTGAGCAAGTCCTGTGCAGAGCTGCCAATGACTTCTGTAACCCAAATGAAGCACGCTGATGGGCTGCTCTTGCTATCGCTCTGGTTGATGTGTGCACTCACTCTTCCAGGAGAAGTGCCCATACAAGGAATTCCACCCTTCAAACAGGGCCATACTCGACAGAAAACTTTCCGAAAATTATAC